GAGCATTAATCCTTGGCACGCTAAAATCCTATCTCTCTCGAAGTCTTTGGGCCTTCAGGTCACCGCCGTACCCATGGAAGAATTGACTAACATAGTTAATGGAAGACCTCATCAAGGTGTGATTCTTAAAACTTCTCTTCTTCCCATGTGCTCCTTTGACGACAGCTTTTTTGTTAACCTTTCTACATTCGAAAATTCTTTACTCTCATCCAATGCTTCTCATCACAGTCACACGGTCCTTTATATGGACCAAATCAAAGATATTATGAATTATGGCAGTATACTGCGTTCTGCTTTCTTCCATGGAATATACACGGTTTTGCTTTCTGCCTCTTCTACCGCCATGCCTTCTGCCCTTATCAGCAAGTTGAGTGCTGGTGCGATGGAAGCTATGCAGTTTTATCGTATCACAAATTTTAATTATACTCTTGAAGTTCTTCGTGCTTTTGGATTTAAGCTTATCGGTACTATTGCCTCCTGCAATGTTGTTTCCTCAGTAGATAAAAAATATTTCGCCATGGACTTGCTAACCGAAAAGATGGTAAGTATATATTGGAAGCATACTAAACAATGTAACTCTAGGAATATAGGACTTATGGAATTCTTATTAAATTAATTAGGGTGGTCTCACAAATTTTATGATGTAGGACTTAATTTTTTTCTTGATTTTTTACAATCTATATTCCTACTGTAACAACACATTTATCCTTTTAGGTCGGAGTTGAATATGATTCTGCTGGATTTAGACGCCTTCAACCTGTGTTAATTGCTCTTGGAAGTGAAACCTCTGGCCTCAGCAATGAGATCTTAACGGCTTGTGATTTATTAATTCGCATACCAGGGGCTCTAGATAGACTAGATTCTGAAGAAAGCTTTACAAACGGTGGAGATGTACATATGGATCTTCCTAGTTCTGCCTCTATCTCACCACTCGTATCATCCCTTAACGTCGCTGTTGCTTCGGGCATTTTACTTCATCATCTGACTTCCCTGCGCTCTGATCTTCGCTATTGCTCTTCCTCATAGTGTTTTTTTACTGTTTTTTATTTTTTATATTTCTTATTTGCCATATATTTTTTCGATAAGGGCTTTAGCTGATTTATTTTGTCCAATGGCATTTGACTAATTCATATCTCTTCATATTAGCTTAAGTCTATCTACTCCTACTTATTTATAAATCCTACATCCCTTTTAATACTGTAAATTTTTAAATCTAAAGATGAATTTCCTTCAGTTAACTCCGCTCAGTAAGCATTTCTAAATTAATTTATTTGTAATCTTCTGCAAGCAACTATGATAAAACTGGTTACCATGTCCCTTTCTCCCAAATCAACGTATTTATATATCTAAGCTTGCTTATTTTCTTCGCTACTAATTTTAATAGTCGAAACTTATCTTTCTAAGCTTTATATAACTATAACTGGGGAATTATCAACTATTTCTTACATAATTAAATATTTGCAATACAGTTTTTGTATGCTTACTTTTACTCTAATTTTCGACCGGATTTTGTTTGCCATTACTCGTTTTTACAATATGGCATCGATTTTTATTTCTTGTTGAATCATCTGAATAATATATCATTACTCATTCATAAATGTTGGACATTACGATCCTTAAATTTATGGTTGCAACTTTTAATGCTCTGGAAACGGGAGCCCTTAAGGTATCAATTTATTTAAACTTCCATTCCAAAATCGTAATAGATTTTCCCGCATTATACCTATGCAGAACAGGATTTATTTGTTATTGTTATCTGCACGTGCTTACGTCTCCTAATGAATGTAAGTTCCCTTCTCCAATTATTTTAGTCTCTTGGCTTACTCTGATCTGAGCTCATTACAATGTATCTAAAAAAATTGTATAAAACTTTTGTATATAGATGAAAAATATTTGGTATAAATTACGGACTTATCTTCTTCGTTTTTGCTTGAGCCTGTGTCACTCATACACGTTTGCTTAAAGTATATAGCTCAATCAAATGAATATTATATGATTCATTAGCTGCTTCTACGTTTCATATAATATAAAACCTTTTTACCAGGATGATTGGTTTATTCTTATTTTTACATTAATTTTGTTTTTTCATTGATTTTGATTATTTCATCCTGTCAATCAATCAATACTTATGTAAATTTGGTCTGTGTTCGTCTTAATAATTTTGTCGGAGTGACTGGAAAACTTTGTGAAACTTATCCCGTTATTCATCCATATTATTTATGATAATTTCCAGAATTGATCCGGTGACAGTATCTTCTCATACGTTTTGCTCAGTTGCTTTAGAATCTAGTCGATCACCCAGACGCAGGGGGTAGGAAATAACGCCTTGAGTAGCACAGATGAGATAGCAGGGGTATAGTGAAATTCGCGAACCATAGAGATAGAAGACGGATCTTACGGGGCAAGAGGGCAGACTGATCCAAATTCCCAGCACAAGGCTGAAGAGAGATGGGAAAGGCAGTGTGGAATGTGAAGAGTTCTCATGAAAGCCGCTCAAAAGAGTACAGCATACCACATTTGAATAAGCAAGTAAAAAATTGTGATAGTTAAAAGGTGATCCAGGATATATGATTGGTGATTAGCCTAGGGGGGAGGAGAGATACCACGATTGTTTAGAAGACAATTGGTCAAAGGATCGGCTTCACTTTTCTCTTTTACGAGGTGTAGAGTGGTGCTAGGAGTGGCAAGACTCGGTGACGATGCCGGCGAAACGTCTGGGAATATATTGCGTCTACGGTCTGATTCCGAATATTATCATGCATACAATGGACTCCGGACTAGATGTGTTCCTCTAAGTCTTCTTACCAATATGACCAAGTTGCGAAAACAATGTCAAACAACTTCTATACAACGAAAGG